TCTCTCTGAATGATCACACAGAGTCATATATCACTGTGTTGACTGAGAGAGAAGATAGCATTGTAACAGTGATGAAGAAGATAGAAAAAGAACTGAATATGAATAAATCAATCAGCAGAAGAAATGATATCTCACTGTAAGACACAGTGACTATCATCACAGCTGTAAGAGAAGCAGAAGAAGAAGAAGAAGAAGAAGATGTGATAATGAGAGCAGTGCTCTTATAATTCATTGATACTACTGTCTCTGTCTTTAACTGAGCTTTCTTAACAGTCATGAAGACTGCAGCTGCATTATAAAGATATTTACTCACTAGAAAATGTCAGAATAAGCTCTTTATTATTCTTTAAGAATAATACTCTCATGCACTCACTGTTGTAATTGAGAGAAGAGTAAGAAAAATATTTTATAAGAGAGAGAATCTTTTCAAAAAATTCTGTCACTACTGTTAACTTTATCTCTAAAATACATCACTTTTATAGAGAATTTCATATATAGAACAGAATATGATGAGAGATCTGTAAGTTACTTATTAACTATATTTTTCACATTTCAAATTGATATATAAGAAACTCACTTATCACATGTTTGATTTGAATAAAGATGAGAAAAGAAAGATTTACACAGTCAGCAGAAAAACTCATCTATTTCTTTATATCATACACAGCACATGTGCTGTCAAATCAGTTAACAACTATTACTATATAACAAAGATAATTTCTAATCTGATAATCTTAAGAGCATCAGAACTATGCTCTTAAAGAGAAGAATATTATCATACTCTCAGCTGTGTCAAGATCTTACTGTGATTTCACACAGCTCATTACTTTCATGCAGATAATTTCATCTTATCTGAATCAGTTTTTAATCACTCTATAACATCATTCAGATATATCATAGAAAGATCTGATTAATAAATATGAGAATCTCACTTCTATATAAGATCAGCAGATTACTCTTTCTTAACAGTGAGATGCTGCTGAGATATCACTTCAGCTATTCTCACTCATGAAATGAGAGAAGAGTATTCACTCATTATCTATATAGAATAGCTAGATGCTGGCTTCTTATAAAAGAAGTCAGTAATTTGTTTTTTCTCAGACTGGAATATATACAAGAGTTACTGCATGTCTCATACAATCTTCTTAGTATACTAAGTATCATATCTGTGATATTCTTACAATAACTCTGTAGTCTACAAGCTCACTATTCAAGCAAGATAGTTAAGCTTACTTATACAGCTTCTCAAACAACTACTTCTACATGACGCCGCTGACTAGTCATCGCTTCGGTTCCGTCATGTTACACCTGTACAGCATCATTGCACTGTCTTCAAGGCAAATCTTATATTGCATCTTGATGTCAGAAAACTTCACTACTTCTCTTTTCAAAAAAACATTCTTATAATCTGTAAAGAGATATTATATTTATCTACCTTCAATAATGAATACTGCTGCTAATCTTGTAGCAAGAGTGATGACTTTTTCATCTATTTTCAAGTTTCAGTTATCTGCTACACAGTATATTAACTCTATCTTTTTCTCAAGATTCTTCTGATGAAACTCTTCAGATTTCTCTATCACTGTCTCTTCATTAGTGAGATAATACTGTCACATCTAAGTAACTCAGTCAATGAGAGAATTGTTTTCTCTCAATCACAGAAGATCTAGAATAACATTCTCATCTATAATATTAACTATGTGAAGAAGCAGACTGCTCTTCTTAAAGATTTCTTCTAAGTCTGTGACTACACACTTTGCTTGAATTATGTCAAAATAGTGACATTTTATTTCATCAGTAAATTTCATATAATCTGACAGATCTATCTTCTTTCAACTCTTTATTAAAGAAAAGAAATAGAATATGAAGTTAGTATCTACTCTGAAGTCAAGTAGATATCTCACTGATATCTTCTCATTCAGAGTATATATTATAATTATAACATAAACTTGAAGATATGAGAATTATCAATTCTTCATTTCTTTCTCTTCTTTATCTTCTGCAGATATATTTGTCAGAAGAGAAGTTAACTTTAAGAAGATATCTTCTCAGTTTTTTCTCTTCTTCAGCTTTTTACAATCACTGATATAATAATTATCAGCTTTACAGTTGAAATAGAGATCTTTATCAAATCTTTTTTAACATTTCTTTACAGTGAGTGAAGAATTAGAATACTTAGAATTCTTCTTTACTTTTTCTGTACTGAAGTCATTACAGTACTGTTTAGATTCTATTATTAATTACTTAGAAGAGATCTTATTAATCTTTTTCTCAGAGAATTGATTATTTAAATAGATCTGAGAAGTCAGGTTGATAAGCTCAGTATGATTGATTAATAAACTCTAATACTGTGATATTATTATTCACATCTTATAAGTCAGCTTCATAAGATAAAGCTGTGTTTTTAATTGATTCAAATTATCAGTCAATTTCTTCTAATATTCTTCAAATCTTGTATTGAAATTGAAAGAATTCTTATTATTTTATTAATATAATAAGTTGAATCACTGTATCACTGTGAAGTCACAGTTACAGTGATCTTTGATTTGATTCAGTAGAAAGTTCTTGAATTCTTCTCAAGTTATAACAGTATTGATATACTCAAGCTTTCTCTTCTTAATAACTTAAGTAGTCACAGAGATGCCTTCAAGAAGGTTGATAATATATATTACTCATATCTTATGAGTATTATACTGGCTCAGATTAAGGTGAAATTGGGGGTTGTTTTAAGCGCGAAAGCTGTGAAATTCAGACAAGATATTTTTCTTATATCTTGAAGAATCTTCAATCTTAATCTCTCTATCTCTATAATAGATGTAAATGTATAGAGGCTGCAGTGATAGTAGAGCAGTTGAAGAGCTCATGTTAAAATATACAGCAGATTCAGAAATCTCAGATTTCTGCTGAGATAAAGATATATACACTCTAGAAGATAATGTAATATTTTCTTCAGAGAGTGAGATTGAGTCAGTCTCAGTGCAGATATATGAGATTATATCAGTCTGTTAGAGCTTAACTGATTCAAACTTATAATCAGATTAAGCAATTTAAATTGTAATATAATAGAACTGAAGTGATGACTAGTTAATAATATTATATAGAGATAGTTATTTAAGAAGCTGTATAAGTGAGCTTAACTATCTTGCTTAAATAGCAAGCTCATAGACTACAGAGTCATTGTAAGAATATCACAGATATAATACTTAGTATACTAAGAAGATTGTATAAGATATGTAGTAACTCTTGTATATATTTCAGTAGAAGAAAAATGAATCACTGACTTCTTTAATAAGAAGTCAGCATCTAGCTATTCTATATAGATAATGAGTGAATACTCTTCTCTTATTTCATAAGTTAGAATAGTCAGAGTAATATCTCAGTGATATCTCACTGCTAAGAAAGAGTAATCTGCTAATCTTATATAGAAGCAGAGTTCTTATATTCATCAATCAGATCTTTCTATGATATATCTGAATAATATTATAGAGTGATTGAAAACTGATTCAGACAGAATGAAATCATCTGTATAAAAGCAATGAGCTGTGTGAAACTGCAGTGAGGTCTTGACGCGGCTGAGAGCGTGACAGAACTTATTATAAGCTTTACTTATATATAAGTATAATAAAAGAATAATAATAATAATAATAATAGTCAGTCTAGTAACAGTTATATAAAAGTTTTTTAAAAAAACAGTTGAAATTAACTGAAACTTTTTTAAATGAAAAATATAAAATAAATGTATATAATAGTTATATAAATACTTTATAAAATAATAATTAAGAGTTAACTAAAACTCTTCTGAATAAAAAATATGAAATAAATTTATATAATAGTCAGAGAAAGATTTATAAATTATATAAAAATTTCACTGAATAAAAAACTAAATAATAGACTTTTTTCTTTTTATAGTAATAAAAGATTTTTTCTTACTAAGATTTTTTATAAATATAAAGAGTTTTTAATAAATATTACTATAATACTAAGTCTGATTCTATGAAATTATTTAATAAAAAACTTCATAAATAAAGCTTTAAAGAGAAAAAAATATATAAGAAATTTTACTTTTTATAAATTTTTTATCTCTACTTTTATTTTTTATATAATTAATAAAGTTAACAGCTCTTAATTATATATAATTATATAAACTAAAGTTTTTAATTACTATTTATAACTTAGTTTAAATACTATTATATATTTATTTTTTATATTTATTTTTTTACTCTGAATATTTTTAATAATTATCAGTATATATTATATTAAGCTGCAAATCTCTGAATAATTACCTGTGAGTATTTATTCTTATACATACTTACTGTAGTCACTGATTTATATAATCAGTAATTACAAACTCTTTATAAAAAATTATATAGCAGCTAGCTTTTCATAATAATAATCAACTACTTCAAGTACATTTTCATGATTTAATAAAGTTAACTAGGTTATTTTAAAATATATAATTACTTACAAAGTTTATTTTTTTACAGCTTTGTGCAGAGAACAGAGTACTCTGTAAAATTTTAATTAATAAGCTCTGTTTGATTACAAATTGAATGAATATGATTGATGCATGTACATAGTAACACTAGTATAAAAAACATCAAAAATACTCATTTGACTCAAATGTCACTAATAGGCTGCGTTAGAGACACCGCTGTTTTCAGTTTGCTGTTGCATTCACACTTTGCAGTGCCGCGAATCAGCTAGTCTACTCATTACTATGTTCAACTCTTATAGGAGCTCTGGCTCGCTTCTTCATTGCGTCTTTCTTTCTTTTCTCACTTTTGCTGTATTGTATTTTGGCATCTTTAGATAGGTTGAACAATATATTTTCTCTTCGGCTTGGCCATAACAGACAACTTTTTGAGGGTTTTTAGCTAGATGTGAAGCCCTATTTTTCGGTGGACTAAGGAGCATGGAAGAGAAAGGAGGGAAAATAATAAGAAAAATGATGATAGATTGGTATGACTGATAGACAACGTCTACCAGATCTACCAGATCTATCAGGGGATTCCACCATGTAGATAAACACGCTCCTTACCCACAGCGCTCTGCCGCCGGGACCCCAGCCCGCATACCCTGGGTACCCTCAACCTGTTGAAGCCTACCCCGAATGTTACGGGCAACCTATGCAGCGGGCCTACCCGCTTGAACCCCTCGTGATGCCGCCTCCTAGGCCACTTCATGACTTCGTCAATGACGGCATTGGTGACACTAAATTTGGAAATCCCTAATACTACCATGGAAGAAGCATCACGGAGTACAATGCCTTTTACTGTGCTCTCGAGTGTAAGTTCAAACTTAACGCTCTCCGCTTCAATTCCCTTCATTATCCAGATGAATTGATGCCTGCATCAGCTGTGCTGAGCAAAGAGGCACTGAAGGCCAACTGGGCTTTAATTTTAGGTGCCCATCCACTTTTTCGGAGTTTAGTTCCATATACCGTCGTAACATGGTGGCAATACTGCATTGGAGTAGCCAAAAGTGCTACGCAATTTGGATAGCCGCAGGTGACCGGTTCGGAAAAGTCCATCCGTTCCACATGCTGCGTCTCCAGGTGGTCTCGCAGGAGATACATGTTGCAATAGCTGAACTCTCGTGCTTCGGGATACCTGTCGTCACCCAGGCACTCAGGGCCCTCTAAACTAGTAGGAGCCTGAGTTGGGAAGTCAGACAAAGTATCTTGGGCTGGGACCTCCGGTTTAACTCTCCGGGCCATGTGCCTGCGCACGGTGAGGCGGTTCAGAGCGAGACGAAGCTCAAGAGACAGGATGCGATCTTCCACACACTCCTCATCAAAAACGATGCTGACATCTCGGTTCTTAAACTCAAGGGCGGCCAGAGCTTTTCACTCGAACAAGAGAGAAGAGGTATCGGGTTCAAATGTGGTGGCCTATCAATGATAGTTACTCTCAATGATAGCATTACCCACATTGTCGAAAAATTGTTTGTATGCCTCTTTATCGACCTGACTCTGGAGCTTCCTGCGTTCAGCTCGAACCTGATTGCCAAGTTGTCGATATCTGTCACATTTGGCCGGGTCTGTCACCTTGCTGATCTTGCCATACTCCGAAATCAGATCCTCTCAAAAGGCCACATGAGTATTTTCTAACTTCATTAACTCTGGATCATTCTCGACACATTGCAGTTGTTCGCGAGTCAGGCTCCGTGGCGCAGATGGATCACAAGTGAGGCTGGAGTTGGTAGAAAGCGCAATCAGGGTGTCTCTGGTTGGGGTTCCCACAAAAACAGACTGGGTGTCACAGTTCACCAACTCATTGAGGTATACCATGAAAATGCTGCTTTTAGCCTGGCCCATGATCTGAGTACGTAGCCCTGGGGTCAAGTCTACAGAAATGGTTTAGTCACTCGTTCCTACAGGAATGGTTGGTATGGGTCTTATCAATAAATGCAGCGGCAGCTTCTTTTTCTCCATCATAAGTACAGCGAACCTGTATCTTTAGCGCCTGCAGCTCTACACTCTCGATGATGATCTTCTGCGAGTTGTGCATATGTCAGAGGCCCTGTGGGATGTGTAATCCACTTCCCTTTTCCATTTCGAGCCGCACGTCGAAATATTGGTATATGATGCTTTTCCGCCTTGATATGAATGGGAACACTCTTCCGATGCGCTGGTATATCGGTGTAGCACCAGATGTCTCGGGGCTCTTGAATAAATTCACTGGCAAAGACTTGGTCCTCTAACACATACTCTAGGATGTCTTGGATCACATAGAGTCCCAGATTGTCATTCCGCTCGATATAGATATACCTCGGACTGTATGATACGGGTTAGTCACTGAAGGTTGATGGAGAGTATCATTGCACCTACGCTCTGCCATTGTTCCTCTTGCCCTTGTTGAGTCGGTGCTTTACGTGCATGAGAAGAACCTTGCAGGTAGGGCGTTCGGGATCCATAACCATGAAGAGCTCGATATCTCCCCAGCGAAGTGCATCCTTTTCCTTTCTGCAGTAACCAGTGTTACAAACAAGGGTCCCAGGATGTGCACTGGTAGCAGTCATCATCTTCTGCAGTGTTGCATGTTGGCTTCTCTGCCGGTTTGTTATGTAAAAGACCTTCAAACTGGCAAGAGAGAATGCAGATGATAGAGGAGATCATCCACATTAACACATGGTTGGAATTTGATTGTCTCTGTAAGATCATATTCCTTAAGCATTCCGCAGATCAACTTCAATCATGGTAAGCCTAGCTCCAACAAGTACAAGGTTCTGAACACATACACTCTTAGTTTGACGCTTGAGATCGTAAGGAAAGGAGCCACGGTTTAGCTCAGAACAATAGGACATTCACCAGTATCGAACTTTGACCTGAAAGCCCAGCAAAGATCGAACATCGTGGCCTTCGAGATACCAGCGTAGATAGTATTCGATAACATTCATGGTCAAATTCTCAAACCAGTAACGTGGATCGGCCGGTTGCAGGCATTGCACAAACCTGGTAATAATGAGCAAACTTCCCATGAAGAAATTAGGATCAGGTAGGAGTACTTCTCGAAATTCTTGTTCGTAACTTCCAAGGTAACTACGCTTGGTAGACTCTTCAAACTCCGGCTTCACTGGCTGTGATGGTTTGCTGATCATATCCATCCAGTATCCAGGCCTCATTTTAACTGGAGCTTTGCGCGGGAGAATAACCATTGTAAACAAAATGCTTAGGGAGGAAACAGAATACAGTCTGAAAGATGGGAGTAGGATAATTGTATTTACTATAGACAGAGAGACACTGAGAACCCGCTGTACAGCACCAGGCCGCACAGCGGGTTTTATAGACAGTGTTATAGGTATTGGGGCCTCAGGAGTCGGGATGCACGCGCCAGCTTGAAGGGGTCTGGTTATGAGTGCTTCGTGCAAAAGCAGCATCACACGAACAAAAAAGGCCACTTAAAATGAGTCCGAAGGGGCAACGATCTAGAGAGGTGAATTAAAAGAGCCGTTACGTTACGTTACAGGCTTGTTTACAGCAGCAGCCTATAGGCTCCCGTAACTAGCTGGGACCTCGGCTTAGGGCTTCCGATCGCCGCCTTTCCAAGCTCAATAATATTAAATCTTGACTTCTTCAAGATCCTCAAAAGAGTCCAAGCTAGCTAGCTCCCGGCCAAGCTGGTCCGTTGCTGCAGCTAGACTCAGAAGATCAAGCAAGCTGTGAGACATCGTTTCATCATGGGAACCACTTCTGCGCTGGGGGCAACACTTCTTGACCCCCCCAACTCCGCATGGACAGGTTGCTGTGTGTCTTGGATGTCCTCCACTGTTGCTGCCTTTGTCTGCCCTGCTGTGGTATTGATGATGCAACCTTGGTTCCCAGGAGCATTATCTTATGCACTGCTAAAAAATATGGCTGTTCTGCGAATGGCCATCCATTATTTTGATGGTATAGCCAAAACAGCACGATGGCTATGAACGACGATGCAGATGAATAAATAGGATAGGAGGGATAATGGCCTGCAGAATCCATCCAAGCTCTACTAAAACGGCCGCTGTCTAGCTCGACAGGTCGAAACCAGCCAGATCTCCCAACAGCAAGATTCGCAGCACACTCACTGGCTGGAGCGGGTCTAGTGCTTTTTGGTGGGTGCAGCAGGCTGTCGATGTTGCTTGATGACTTTTTGCCGCTGTGGAGTTCTTCTGTTACTATTATTCCCTTCTCTCTGCTCTCTCTTTCTCTCCTCTTTCTTTGTCTCTGCTGTCTCTCCCTTCCAATTGTCACTCGCTTGATCTTCTTCTTCTTCTTCTTCTTCGTCGTGTCTCTCGTTCTGTCGTATATAGCTTTTAATACCATCTCTTTCTTCCGTCTGCTCGTCATTTCTGTCCTACATAGCTCTCTATCTACAGCAATCTCCATTAAATTCCCATACACACGCAAATATGCTGTTCCCCACTATCCTCCTCGCTCTCTCCTCCATCTCTGGCGTCGTTAACTCGCAGACCATTGATCCCATGACCATTCCCGTCTCTACAAGAAGTGAGTTCATTTTATTGAAACAAAACCCAAAAATTATGCAGCAAACCGCCTGCCAATTTTGTGAAACAAACCCCTATCTAACATTTCATATTACAATACAGGTGCGTGGTGCCTCGACCAGGTTTCCTCCTGCCCATTGATCTGCTTGCAAGAAAGGGGAACAAATGGTGAACCCAAGTCAAACGACTGTGACCCGGTATGAGACCCCTTTTACCAATTATTCTGTCTCTCACACTATCATCAGTACCAAAACATAACCCCCCTCTCTCTTCCCCCTAACAACAAACTAACCCACCAAAACCACAGGAAACCCTCACCTTCTCCTGCGTCTGCAGCTCCGGCCTCTCCCCCAATGCCTCTGAATTCTCCCAGACACTCCCCTACTATATATGTACAGAAATCAACAACCAATGCGTCCGCAACTGCAACGGCAACTCCGGATGCCAAACCTCCTGTCGCGAAGACAACCCCTGTGGCGCCCAGAGCCCCAGACGCGTCACCACCACCCCCTCGGCCACCAGCACAGGTGACGCCACTGGCACCGCTACCAATGATGTCGTCTATACGGGCCTAGGTGAGGATTCGGCTACGAGGCCCGGCAGTGGCGCTGCAGGACTTAGCGTTGCGCTGCAGGTTGGGCAGGTGTATGCTGTTAGTGTTGTGGTGGCTGGGTTCCTCGTGGGGTTTTCGGTGTTGATGTAAACTGAGAAAAAAAAAAAAAAGAAAAGAAAAGAAAGAAAGTGGGGGGGAGGCCCAGAGAGAGGGATTGATTCGTTCCGGGGGATTAAAGAAAATGGAAGACAAGCAGGAAAGAAACTTCGACTTTTTTATCACGAATCAATACCATGGTTCCCTTCTCCTCTCCCCTATCTTCCTTTACTCTGTTCGGAAAGTCGGAAAGTACATTTCGTACATATCAACCTCCCCACATCACTACACATGCGGCGTATATTTTTGTGGTCCGCTTTTTTCCTTCCAGCGTGCTTATTTATGTTTTATTTTCTGTTTTTCCAAGCGCTGCGTTGTTGCTGGTTTCGAGCCTTCTTGAAGTAACCTACCTACCCCCTTTGTTTATTCATTTCTAGCAAATGGTTTGCAACGTTTCATATACTACTTACTTGTTTTTGTTATTCCACCTTGTCAACTAATTAATTAACCCACCTCCCTCTCCTCGCTCATCCGTCGTACCCTGTCCCTTTTTATATTTTGTATGTATGTATGGCTATGGATAAGTACGACTCATCGCATCCTTTAATTAATTAATAAATAGGTGAATGAAGAGTCACAACTTGTCTAGGTGTGGCCGTCTACCCTCCAGGCACAAGATCATATGCAGCTAAGAAAATCTTCAGTCCGATCTCTCAAGTCATCAATGCTGGATGGCTTTTTGCACTTCGACAAGGTGTTAAAACCAGTCAGGATTTTTCGCTTCGCAGGAACATATCACACCAGAATTGGGGTCTCGTCCCTGGTTGGGTGGTGGGTAGTGGGGAGTTCACGAGCAGGTACTTTCTGTCTGTAAAGCAGCTCGTTGAAAGGGGGTAGTTTCTCCCCTGACTATGACATTTTGAACAGGTGAGATGAATTGGGCTTCGATGTGGGAATTGAGGTGCGGAAGGGAGAGGGGTATTCCTGCTGTGTAGAGGGTGGGAGAAAGGAAGAAATCAATAGAAAATAGGCTATAAGATCATTGAGTGCTTAGGATCATATTCAGTAAGTTCATATGAAGAGAGAAGAATAACTAACTAGTTAGTTAATATTTGATGACGTCATTACCGAACAGACCCTGGGGGTCGAGAAGGGCTGACTATACCCAAAATAGGTAGTTAACTAGCGTATATATATGCTGTTATACCTCAGAACCTTCTTATCACGCTTCTCAGAACGACAGCTCAATGATATGTTCTGTGTCCTGGCTTCATAAACAGAAACTCGCTGGTTGGAGTCAAATTGACTGATCATGAACCTTCTTGAATCAACCTCATTTTTGCTACAGACTAAAAACAATGTCTGTTGTGTCCACGTCGGAGCGACCGCATCTATTGAAGTGCTGAGTTTCTGTGCATTGAGCTTGAACAGAGGCATGAAGAAGTTCAAAACTGCTGTGACTTACTCTTCTATTAAAGGTCTGTTATTTTATTACTCATATTAAATCAATTCATGGATGAGACATGATGAAATCCCTGCGCGACACACGATGATCTGAATCCCCCAGCCTCTGACGCGAAATGCTAAAAAGACAAGACTCATGGTCACATTTTCAAGCGCTTGTTACTTCTTCTTGTCACCACCAAGGTTCAGAGCATCCGTGACAGACCCCAGACCCAACTCACCAAGAAGCTTATTGATACCCAATCCGCCGAGGAGTCCATTCACCAGCCGCTAGGTCCAAGTCCATTGAGCAGTCTGCCCACCAAGCCAAGAACACCAGTCAGGAGGAGGCTAACCGCAGTAATGATCTGGAAGAGAGGTTCGCTCAGCAGAGCCCAGAGCGGGTTGAGCCTTTTCTTTGCGTGGGGCATATCGGCAATCCGCTTCCGTGCATTGTCAATGGTCGTGGCGACGGTCGACGTGAGTTCCTTCAGGAGATCCGCTAGCTGGTGTTCCTCTGGCGATGCTTCGCGCTGTGCGGACTTTGATTTCGCCTTGGCTGCTATCATCTGCCCGTCTGGATCGAGCAAGCGGAGGGTGCCGTTGCATTCTTGAAGGTGGCTACTGCCTTCTTCGATTCGGGGCTTGACATTTGTTCTATCCGCTCTCTCCATGTGCTATATGTGTGTGTTTTGTCAGTAAAGGGGGCTACATTGACTAATGGTCCTCTGAAATCCTGGAGGGGGGGGGGGGGGGGGGGGGGGGGGAACTAACCTCCTTTATCATCTTACACACAGCTCGACCCGTTGTCGTCAATAAACATCCCAACGAGGTTATTCAGGTTGCCCTCCGTCAATTTTCCAATCTGGTTGCCCTCTGCATCTCACACTTCTCCCTCTTTGTTTACTTTACACCCAGACATTGGATTGATGTCCCATTTCCTTTGTTCTTGCTCCCAGCGCTCAGCTTTTCCAATGACACTTCCCACTTTATCAATAATGTCACAATCTTCATCGACTAGTTGACCCATAAGCTTTTTCATGTTCCCCTCTATCACACGCCCGACAATCTGGTATGAGCTGTCTAACACGACGACGTTCTTACCCACCGTGAGACTCGGAAATCCGGCAAGTGGTCCTTCAGGTTTGTCCCGTTCTGCTTCAGGGACAAGTTCTGCCTTCCTGATAACCTGGCCCTTGCACCCCAGATCTGTCTTTTATTTACCTTCCTTCCAGAAAGTTTCTTGGGATCACCAGAGACAAGGCGCCCAATCGCGACTCTGGATTCGTCGTATATAGCAGAGGGCGTACGCCCCCCTTGTCAGCTACTGGGGCACAAGAGCTCAATCACCACCAGTTAACACTGGAGGAAGAGGGGCTGGAATACACACAGGAGAACTAACCTCGGCTAACATCCCCTATCTTAGGCATGATTATATCCTTTTTGCAATATGCACCTGGACGCACGTCTCAGACAGTCTCATCATAATATACAGTTGAATATATTTCAAAAAAATTCTTCAATCCTGACAAATATTCAGTGTAATCTTTAATTTTATATTATATATTGAATGAGATTTTCTAATAGTTTCAAACAGTAAAGATTTCATTGAATTCAATATAGTGATCAGATAATAATCAATACTCTGGGTAATTTCAGTAGGTATATAAACATTCTTGAGAAGATATACAATCTCATTGATAGTAAATTCACTGAGTTGAGATGACATATTGACACACTTGATAATAAAGATATGAAAGATGTGTATTTGAATGATTCTAGAGAAACGGATATTTGGATCTTTTGCAGTGTTTTGCTACTAATTAATTTCAGGGGCCCAGTTTGCATTATCATCCAACATGAGGCGCACCACAATGACTTGGGTTTTAGTTCGCTTCGATTTTGGTCGCGCATTTTCTCTTCTTGATACTTGTGCCTAGACCGTGCTACGCTAAAGGTACGACCTGTCGAGTTGGCTCATCCCTGGAGAGAAAAAAGGCCAGACGCCATGACAGCGAGATTGAGCGGAACTTGAGGATTTTGCGTAGAATGACTGGCTCTCATGGCGTCTGCGAATATCAGACAACATTCCTTCCTCAGGAAAGTTGAAATGGGGCAATGAAGGATGCATGATGTGTATAAAATCTTTCTTCCACCCTAAAGATTGAAATAAATTTCATTATTCCTCCAATTTGTTTTCATAGTATTAGATATATCCCTCTCTGGGCCTTCGCCAACCACATATGTCTGAGAAAGTTAGGTTCGCAACACTCATCTGAATCTTCATTTCTTCCTCTTATAGATGGTTTATGTTGGCTAATTGATGCGCCTTGTCTCTAGGTTACCTCTCAGTCGAAGCATGTCGTACGCAGTCTATCGTGTTGCTAATCTCGGCGCCCCCCGTAACCATCACACAATATTCGTCGAAACTAGTGAGGATGGTCCTGAAACCGGCTGCCTGTTCCATGTGAAAGGTGACATTCAAAATGGAATGTCTTTCGAGGACAAAACCATAAGGAAGCCTGATGCATTGATTTCGTTAGTAAGCAAAGAGCACATCAGTACTCCGTAGTGTGACACATGATAACTATCTGCCAGAATATGCTACCGCCAAAGAAGCAATTCCATGGACCGAAGATACTGTATCCCGATGAACCTCTCCGCCGGTGCCAAGAGTGGACTGCTAAGGTTATAGAAGCGCTGACCAACGCTCAAGTTCTGCAGCGGCCATCATTATTGAAGCTACTGGAGTGGAACCCTCTATTTCCACAGGTCGCTGTTGAGCAAGGCCTTGCTGGGTGGACTGTACAGAAAGTGCTGAGAAGGACTTCTCTTCAGCAGGTAGTATTGTATCATCTTGATTTTGAAAAGCAGAAAAAGACATTGATGTTGATTAAATTGAGACCATAAATCAAGATACAACATGTTCAACCAAGGGAACTCGGCGTCGAAGGGTTGTAGAATTTTGGCAACCCATTCATCCCAATCATCATCCCATCTGCTCGCACACATTGCTAGGGAATATTCCTAGTAGCTGGGGTACCATCCAGCTGTTTCCCAGTCTATGATAGTCACCTCATATTTGCTATTATTGGCGTTATTGGGCAGTTGTTTAATCATAATGTTCTTGCGCTGGAAGTCCCCATGCGTGAATTTCGGCACATGGCCGCGGAAAACATGCGATAGCGATCGACGATAGAAATCAGTATTGTAGGTGGTACGATGCTCAGACTCTCCAATATATTTCAAAGCCAGAGCCTCATTCAGTGTAGCTTCAGAGTCGAAAGGGCCATTGATGGAAGGTGAAGGTTGTGGAGTCCAGAAAATACCATGAAGGAGATGTTTTTATCCAATACTACCAAAGAACCCTGGTGAGGGGAGATTGCGTAGTTCATCAAAGTATTGTCTGAGTGTTGTAGCAACTTCACACTTCTGGCAATTGGTGAAGTGTGCCCACTGAGTGTCTAGGGAGTTGCCTTCAATAAATTCCATAATGATATAGTTTGTCAACGACTCAGGGTCATTGTAAAGTGCATAAACTCGTGGGATCTTAACCTTGGTTGCTTGCTGGACAAAAGCCATATTCACGCCCTCAAGGAGGTCAACCTGACTCGCCGCCCCGAATTTGACAACAAACTCAGTACCAACTTGAACAACCTTATACCCGTTGTGCTTGACTAGAAGAGTGGCATTCTCTATCTCCGTGTTTTCCGTAAGAGGATGTGGAATATCTGGAGCGAAATACGGCAGCTTAATAGGCAACGACGGTGTAGGCGACAACGGTGCCGGCGATGATGGTGTTGGAAGAGTTTGATTCCGGCCCCTGAAATATCGACTCCCGACAGAGTAAACAATCGGCAAAGCTGTGATAAAGAGCGCGGTGTTGGCTCCTAGAAAAAAATTCAGGGAAGCGCTCCAATCAGTGTAGAAGGGTAGCATTCTTTAAACACGGCTTTTCTTGTGGTGAAATCAATGGCAAAAGTGGCTGTTCGATGGGGAAGACACATAGAGGGAAACAGCAGTTTTTGTTCTAGGTCTATGGCTATATATATATATATGTACATGTATAGTACACACATGGGTTAGGGTGTGAATTCTATTATCGGGTAGTTGGTGGTTTTTATGACTAAATATAATTATATATGTTCTACATAGCTGTATGGGGCATGAGAGGAGTCAATATACGATGGATAAATTTCATGTATTGACCCACTAATGGCTCAACAAGCAGCTTTATTGCCCTTGCCAGCATTAGGGAGAGAAGTGATTGTATATTTGCTATCATGTGTGAAGGACGGTTCCAAGGTCAACACGGATAAGTCCGCAGTGATATTCATAAGGGGACTTTTTATCTAGATACAGATGTAAACAGATGCACAAATCTACAGGGACAACATATTTAAGTGTAGAATGGAATGTTTGTTTACGTAGAAATGTTGCCCAGCATCCAGCATGTAGTCCACATGAGCCACTGGTGCGGCTCCTTTCAGCCGGCCGAGGTACGCATGTTATTTGGCCCTTGAGATCTTCGAATAATGGAGCACAATCAAACTCCAAAAACGTTCTCCGGGGCAATAACTACAGGTCTAGCTAATGGTTATTGGGAAATATCAAAAGGGTATTAAATATTTCTAAAACCATAACAGCTAGAGACATCCATCTATCTTTGACAAGAATGCAATTGCGAAGAACAAAATTTATACACAGCTTGTGACGCCTGAAATCACTATATATATATGTATTTACCGAGGTCCGGTTTCTCTATTTCAACGCCAGTTGATTCGGTGTACGAGTTGTATAGAGTTGTAAAGGGTTGTAAAGGTCATGAATGCGTTATGGTGGCTTTTTGGTTTGATAGGGGTATTTTTTTAGAATGTGCGCATGTCGAGCACCTGCGTGATTCTTGCCTATATCTCATCAGTCATATCTCTTCAGATTTTCTTTGAATCCTTGTCGAGACAGGCAGTGTTGGATCACACTCGACACGGTTGAATTTGGTTTGACCTGACACATTGTAGTAGTCAGGATGTGGGCCGGTTGTTTGCGTGCTCTGTGGCGGCCAACATCCTCTCTAATTGGCCTTGACTCTGGAGTCAGCAAATGGATCCGGCCTCATATTTACCGCGTCGACCCTGCCTTCTCCGAATTGGCGGTAAGCTTGCTCCCTAGCCTTCGTCTTGTCCTGTTTGATCGTCAAACAATGTATACCCAAGTAGGTTGTGATTCGGTTGACGACAAAGTAGGCCCAATGCATGTATGTGACAAAGGCAAACACCAGATAGGCCCGCAAATAAAGCAGCTCTAGCCACGGGCTGATCTGAGGAAATCCAAATCTGGGGAGGTTCCCCAGTATGGTACCGCCAATAAGAGGAGTTATAAGTATTGTCCAGTACGGAAATGGCTGCCGGGTCAAATGAGCTAGAATTATTTTGGTTGTCATGCGCCCGATCACAAAACACATCGTTACTGCGAAAAGAACGAGCCTGTTGTCACTCAAAAGCGACGAGTAGGGCGAATACAGCCAGGACACGGCGGATGCAGATGCGACGATGGCAGGTATCCATTCCAAGAAGATGGGTAGGATAGGGAGTTTGTGGCGTTTACGGACTCGTATCACATTGTAAACGCATGCGGGAAAGTGGGCGGTCAAAAACGAGAAGCCCAGAACAAATACGAAGAGCTCCTGGTAGGTCCAATTTCCGAACAAGCTTGGGTAACCCAAAGTATCTGCCACCCGCGCTGAGTAAATATGAGGTCCGTAATAACCAGCCGCTATCATCATTAAAACTCCAATAATTAATCCCTCAGTTGGGCCATTAATATATCCAAGGTATAAAGTGTGGGTGTGATAGGTCTCCCAGGTCGAGAAAAACATAGGGAGACAGGGAAGCAGCGTGGTGAAGGCTCCGATTTTTGTCGAGCCCTGGCCCATTGCCGCAACTTGTAGAAGACTGGCTAAAGTGCAGTTTAAGGAGTCAATCCCGTGGCTGGCGGTTCAAGTTAGATATTGCGGATACCAAATGCCGGGCTGGGAAAACGCACTCAAATAATTCTCCCAGTCCGCTAGATGTACCCGTTCTCCTCGCCTGTTTCCCGTCGACGTTATCCATCGTTGAGTACCTAGGGAGGAGTAAGAGCCTATATAGCATTATAGTGGACAAAGGGTCCGTTGAGGAAATATCTTACATCCATACCCCCATCGCGAAACTGTAATATACCCATGAGGGAGCCTATATTGTAAATAATCAAATTAGCATTGAAGATGGCCGTGGCTCATGCAATATCGAGGAGGAAGCGCATACCGGCCCGACAAGATCCGGAACAGTTATCTCCAGAAGTATTAAGTTTCCAATGATGAACATAAAGCCGATTAGCGTGACCATATTTGGCGCGAGCCATAGCGGCAGGAGTTCGACGAAGGCATTCCACTGTCATTGGAGTTCATCAGTCTAGGTATGCAGGAAACCAATAGGACATCATGTATATTGGGATAGCCGTACGTAATGCTTCAGTATATATCTGGATATGAAGGACTTGTCGACGCTGGAGTACTTGTAGGTTTTCAGATGTGATAACGCATCTTCGGACAGCGACTCTTGGGCATCTACGGAGAAGAGTTATGGTAATTAGTTCAACCCGTTTCGAGCTAAAGGGACACGAGAGCTGATAAACTTACCAGCAATTCTCTTGAGGAAGTCCATTGCAGTCGCAGAGAGCGAGGGTTATTGGGCGAAGAGAAGGTGTCTCAGAAAAGTTCACCTAGGGCATTGCTGATATCAATGAAATGGAAGGAATAGGCCCAAGACGATAACTGTCCTACACAAGCAGAAGCAGTGTCACAGGGTAGGACACGGGGATATAAAATAGTTCGACTTGGGAAGAGGGAAAGGGGATAGATCAAATACGTTCAACCAGGAGCCGTTGAAGCCCACGTGACATCCCTGCTTGGGCCGTTGCGCCGCGCAAGAACGGCGCTTCAAAGATATCTCCAAATCACACTCACTCTCAGGCTCCTGCGCCTTCACCGCAACCTCAATTAACTGTCACTACGCACCCGGTTTTGGTGCTATAGCTGTTATATTGCACCCTCTTTGCCGCAGAACGATGCCCGCCCGCTTTTAGCTCCCAAATTCAGCAGCATCACCACCAGCTACAGCTGGCGGTAACCCGCACCAGAACAAACTACGCTTCGTTTCATCGCAGATCAGCCATATCAGTTTCCTGAAGCTGGCTATGAGGCTGCGATACGCCCCCTGCGCGACCAGCGCCACCTTTGACTGAAGCCTACAATGCCAGGCGTGGTGGAAACACCGGGGCTTGCCGGCGCTGGATTGGGCTACTCAGTTGTTCACCAGAAGGTCGAGCTTGATATTGATTTTGTGAACCAGAGTTTGAAGGGGAAAACAGAGATAACTATTCAGCCACACTACAAGGAACTCAAGGCCCTCCGCCTGAATTTCCGCCAAGGAGAATTAAAACGTTTGAATGTTAGCGGAAAGGCGCCGACCACAAAATATGCAGACCCATACGAGTCCTTCCGGTTATACGGCGTCCATCAACACCAGAAACTGTCCAAGAAGTTGGAACCCCTCCTCAAAGCTCCTCCAGAGCCCGAGTTAATCGTGACAATCCCGAAGTCTGTGCGAATTGATGAGTTGGATCCATTTTCTGCAGAGGCCCAAACCCAACTTGCGCTCCGGGCTAGCGGGAGCACCGATGATGCAGCAGACGGCCAGCCTGGCTCAAAAGCCGCTGAGACCTCGTTACCAAGATATACGATGTTGACAGTATATGCGGAATTCACAATCAATCGCCCAAGGGATGGTATACAATTTGTCGGGATTAACAGTAGCGATCGCCGTTACCCGCACGTCTTCACAATCAATGCGTTCGACCCAATTAGTGGCTGCTGCTTGTTTCCCTGCGTTGAGGATATGTCGTCACGGTGCACGTGGGATATATCGATACGATGTCCCCGGACACTGGGGGATGCGCTTTATCCCAAAGGGCGTGAGTCTCAGGCGATAAATGGAACAGCGAAGGGGTGGAATGCATCACTGAGGAAACCAGGCATATCTTCGGACGATGAGTCGCTAGATATGGTTGTGACGTGTTCCGGGGATTTAACCGATGAAATAATGGATACTAAGGACCCTGCAAAGAAGACCGTGTCATTTTCCTGCACCAGCCCTGTATCCGCACAGCAAATTGGTTTTGCTGTTGGGCCTTTCGAGTATGTTAATCTCTCAGAATACCGCGAGAGCGACGAGGATGACCAGCTCGGAAGGAATGCTATCCCGGTCCATGCGTTTTGTCTCCCAGGACGGGCGGACGAAGTTAGGAATACTTGTTTACCAATGGCCAAAGCAATCGACTTTCTTTCCCTTAGTTATGGGTCATATCCGTTTTCCAGCTATAAAATGTGTTTTGTCGATGATCTCCCTTCTTCCGCATTTGCAACGGCTGCACTATCGATTTGTAGTAACCGCGTTCTCTTTCCGGAGGACATAATCGACCCAATCTATGAATCCACCAGGTGTCTGGTACACGCTTTAGCCTCTCAATGGATTGGGGTTAGTATTATTCCGAAAGATCCAACAGATACATGGGCTATACTGGGTATTTCTTATTACATCACGGACACATTTATGAAAAAGCTGTGCGGAAATAACGAATACAGGTATCGACTGAAGCAGATGTCGGATAAAGTTTGCGACCGTGACATCTCGCGACCTCCCATATCCGATATGGGTGCCCTGTTGCGAATAGACCCTTCGGAGATTGATTTCATAGCTTTAAAAGCACCACTAGTTCTTTACATCCTGGAGCGAAGGCTATCGAAAGCTAGTGGAAAGGCTACCATCTCCCGAATCATTTCTCGGATTTTTCTGAATGCGAGAATGGGCGACCTTCCCAACGGTGCTCTGACAACATCCTTTTTCCAAAGAACGTGCGAAAGATTAGGACACACAAAACTCGACTCTTTTTTCCAGCAATGGGTATATGGTGCTGGTTGTCCGCGGTTCCTAGCCACTCAACGGTTCAATAAAAAGAAGCTGGTGGTTGAAATGATGATTCGGCAAGTTCAATCCGAACAGGCAACGGTCCGAGATTTAGAAAAATCAACATTTATGAGAGAAGTTAAAGAAGAAATAAAGAACATCTATGCCGGCCCGGTGCAGCATGTATTCACAGGCTCCATGACTATTCGAATACACGAAGCGGATGGAACGCCCTATGAACATATCGTTGAAATCAAAGAGGGTGTCACCAAGTTCGACATCCCATACAACACCAAATACAAACGCCTTAAGCGCAATAAACGGCAGAAAGAGCGTGCAGCTGCCACATCTGGTATGGACCCAAATGCCGAACTCCAAGACGATGTCTTGCTATATTGCCTTGGGGATGTGCTGCAATCCGAGGAGGAGATTCAAAAATGGAAGCTTGTTGAATGGAGTAAAGAAGACGAAGACCGAATGGGCCAGGAGTCTTACGAGTGGATTCGAATGGATGCTGATTTCGAGTGGATATGTAAAATGTCACTCACAATGCCAGGCTATATGTACCTATCTCAGCTGCAACAAGATAGAGACATCGTCGCCCAGCTTGAGGTATTTACGTTTGTTACCCATTATCTCCAAGAGATTTGTTAACATCCTCTTTGCAGTCAATCCAATACATGGCCGCCCAGCGCGAACATCCTCTAATATCGACTATTTTCGTGCGTACTCTTATGGATCGACGGTATTTCTACGGTATTCGAGCGGCCGCTGCCAAGGCACTTGTAAAACATGCTAAAGATGAAGTTGACTGGATTGGACTGTACCATTTGGAAACCGCATTCCAAGAGCTTTTCTGCTTACCAGGCTCACCCATGACTCGCTCCAACGACTTCTCGGACCGGGCAGCTTATATTCTCCAACTGACTATACCCCAAGCCATTGCACAAGTTCGAGACAATACCGGCAAGACGCCTATGAGGGTTAAACGGTTTCTCTATGATAAATTAAAGTTTAATGACAATTCGAACAATGAGGTATATTGTCGCTATCTTGCCTTGGGCTATGATAATTGATTACTGATATGATGAATAGCTTTCGGATTGTTACTATATTGCTGCACTCATGAAATCCATTTGTGAAGCTTTGCTCGGGCGAAAGGAAACCGAACCTGGCAGCGTTGATATGGATTTTGATGTGGAAAAGGAATTGGAACGACAAGCAGAACAACAACTGGACCGGGATTGCATTGCTGAGATTGACCGTTATAGGCGAATGGACGAATGGACAACTTCCTTCCAGAACATCTACTCAAGAACTGCAATTGAATGCCAGCGACGATTCATGCAGGCTAACGTTATCGACTTGGATCTTATGCAGTTCCTTCAATACACAAGAGCTGGCACCTATGAAATGCTTCGTTTGGATGCTTTCAACATATTGATCGACTTCGACATCTTCCAGAAACCTGAGCTGCTCACGTGGTTCGTTTATGTGATGTCTACGGACCTATCACCCTGGATCCGACACAATCTGCATGTCGCCTTCGGTCGAGGACTTGCTCCCATTGCCTTCGGCGAGCGTAATGTCGAACAACAACCGGAACCTAACAACAGCTTAATCATCGAACAGGAATCAACTACTGAGGTTCGCCAAGCTAATCTTGCCCGTAGACAAACGGTCCCCGGTGCGTTGGAGGCGTTGAAGCATGAGCTGGAAGGTAACGCGGCATTAAAGGAAGCCCTATGGGCAGCGTGCAATTCTCCCACCGTGGGTTTAGCGGAACTATGCGATTTCGTCGACATCTGTAGTGTCTTATACACCCCCATCAATGAAAAGATGGTCGTTCTGAAATATCCTCGGTACTGGAAATTGGAAAATCGGGGACATGTAAGATCATCCCATTGCCCTTTAACTAACGTTGTATTGTATCAGTCGATTGTATCATCAGGAAATATGATAATTAACCCAACGAAAAAAAAAAAAATAGGGCAAACTCCGATTTTTCAAGGGAGGCCGTTTCCGTACTACCCTAGTGGCTAATGGAGGTGCCGCCGCACCGGCTCCCAATGGTACACTGAAGAGGAAACGCGAGGAGGGTGCTCCTCCGCCGCTCAGCCATAAACTCACCCTGAAAGTTCCGAAGCTCTCTTTAACGTCATCCCCCGCAAACTCCCAAGCAACCCCTCCATCAACGATGCCGAAATTGAAATTGAAGTTCAGACCAGCGCGCTCATCCATGCCACCTCCCTGATGTTAAGGCCTTTTCTTTCCCCCTATTCTGTTTTGCTTCTTGAGTTTTATATTGGCTACTCATGGCAGGGTTTACTATGTCAGCGGTTATTTTCGTCGCGTTGGGGTGTTTGTGGGGAATTGTTTTCTTCTTTCACATGTATTTGTTTCATTTTTTAGGGAACGAAGGCTACAGCCGTGAGGAAACATGACATGAGGCTGGCATTACCGATGTGAATTGCACGGTATCTCTTGAGAAAGAAGAGAAAAAAAAGGCCGACTAGGGCTATTTTATTTAACGTCAACGTACAAGTATACGTGATGTATTTTACATTTACTCGAGCCAATTTTTTATTAATCGACATTTATTTTGCAGCCAGCCCATAATCCTGCTGGCGCTGGATCGGATTTCCGTTATTCAAAGTATATTTAATTTCTTTTCATTTTTTTCCCCTCGAACTCCTAGAACAAAAGTCGAAACAAAGATTGAAACGCTTCTCAGCCATCGCAATAAAAGAAGACATAAATTGGGGTAAATAGGAACCACCAGCCCATTTTCTTGTACTCATTAACACGCCAGGATTTCCCTTGAGGCACAGCTACCGGGTATCATCGATCACCGATTCTCTCGAGCGCCTA